TATCACTGCATCTACATATCAAAGCAATAAGTCCCTTATAATTAGCATTTTCTTGGACCCAACCAGGTTCTTGGTCATTTTTAGCAACTGTATCTTCAGCTTCTTTCCTGTGGTTCTTGAGAACATCTGTTGGGAAGGGGGGGTGGGTGGAGCCCCTCCTTTCCCTCTCTTCTTTGGCATTAGAACTTTTAACTATTAACTGTTTTATTATTCTCAAATATTAATTACTGTATCAATATTGATTACTGTTTCAATTTTTATTAGCACGAATCATACCTATTTATCACAACTGGAACCTGATTACACATCTGATGGGAATCAGGATGCATAGACAGAATGCTTTAAGTCAGCAGCCCCTAATCGCTGATGGAAATACAATAAACCATTGTTGTGTGGATACAACATATGTAATTATTCCACCCCTTCTAACAACAGTAAAAACTTTTGTGGTAGATGAATAGATGATCTCACTGTGATTATTACCTTTTTTTCTGACTTCAAACTCCATAATCGTTTGCAGAAAAAATATCCTGAGGCCAAGCAAGGAAACAGCAATAAGAGCTGCCTGACAAAGGTAATATTGCACCTTTTTGAAATTATGCCAGCCACTGACCTCAGACTGAACTGGCACTTTGTTAAGGTGCAAGAACACATCTTCAACATCTCTGTGCAGTGTTGACAGCCTTGGGCTACAAGCAGGGGTAATGCACTTAGAGCAGACAAGTATGAAATATCTGGAAAGGCACCTAATTCCTGAGATGATCCCATCTGGGATGGCCAGTCCCAAAGGGTGATGGAATAACCTGGCTGTTACCAGGTTCTACCCTTGGAAGAAGGAGGCTCTAGTTCAATGAAACAGATCCAGGTCCAGACAGCATCTGTGCACTGCATTTGGCCATGTGCCAGGCTGCTGACACCTTCTGCAAGGTTTTTTCCTGCCTTTTGCTGGAAGCAATTATTTGCATGTGTGTAATCACTAAATGCTCTCTCCCCAGTCTGTTGTATTCTTGTGTTGTACCTACAGAGCAAGCACAGGAAATCAAGACCATTTTATGGGACCCCAGATTTAATATTCCTGACTGTCAGAGATAATACAAACATGGTCCTCAAGTTCAGCCTTGGGAAAATGTTTCTGGAAAAGGATCAATGTGCTCTTGGAGGGTCTGCTAATGGGGACAGCAATGAGAGAATGAGAGAGACAGATGATGGGCCAGCTTAAGTTGACTGGGAGTTCAGTTTGTTTATTCAGCAATACATAAAATGAGTTGACAAAAATGGTCAGAAGTGGAAAGACCAGGGAAAAAATCTGGCTCTGTAAAACTAGTGGTAACAAAGCTCTTCTCTTGGATGGTTTATGGGTGCTGTGACAGACCACAGCAAAGCTGGGCACCACAAAACTCTTTGATAGGCACTTTGCACTTCATAAGTGCAGGAGTGAAACTGTATACAGCTAATAAATAATACTGAATTATGACATTTATCCTGGGTTTCTTGGTTGTTGTTTTGCAGGTTTTTTGAAGAGAGTAGAAGGCTACACAGGAGATTAAAAATGCAAGATTGAAAGGGCAGAGTTAGAAAGCAGTGCATCTCATAATTAATCCATAATTAAACATATTTTTTAATACTCTTGATGTTTAGGAGAAACAGAGGTCTGCATGTTGATAGCACTTCACCATAAATTATTTTCTCTGGGAACATGAAAGCTAACTTCTCTTCTGTCTTCTGGTTTCTGTGGCTCACACCACAATCAAGCACTAATATGTCAAACTGAAAACTAAATATAGCAGCAGTAAAATTGTTGTTTATTCCATGTTATTCAATGTCCAAGTGGCTTTGCCTTTGTGATGACTGGAGTTAGTAATTTGATTGCATGTAGTCTCTTTCTCTTTTAATAAGAAGCTGTAATTCTAATTAGCTGTGTCTGTGAGAGCGTGTGTGTGTACAAATGCACATAAACCCAAACTTTATAAAATTACATTGGCAGAATTAGGGCCTTGTAATATGTAAGATGTGACATGTATGTGGTATGTAAGAATAAATTTCATCAAGATTTTGCTACAGATGATGTGGGGGAACATCTGTTTTCTCCATGATTTAGATGAGGCAATCTGTGACCCTGCCCATGGAAGTTCTGCGTCATCTTCTTGTAGTCTCTGCTCTTCACAATTTGAAGTTCAGACCTATCTCCTGTTGCTTAAATTAGAATGGGCCTGAGGGCTGTAAGTTTGTAAATAACACCATGTTTTCTTGCATCTTCCATTGATGAACCTGGTACTGGCCAGTTTCTAGACTAGAGGATTTTATGAACTGATCCTATGCAAAGATATTTGTCATGTTTTGTGTCCTATTTGGCACGGTTATATTAAATACTAGATTAAAAACATCTGCTTATGTAGATTTCCTCTCCTCTTATGTTTAAGGTATGTCTGTCTTTGGATAAATTTCACAATCTAGTTGGAGTCTCACTATGTGTGTGCTAGATGAAGCACATCTTTTTTTCCTCAGGTGGCAAGTGGATAGCTTTCCCAACAGCTTTGTACTTAGAGACCATGTGTTTAACTAGGTGGCATATCTGTCCTATAATTACATTCGTTTTCCCCACCTAGAAAAATAATTGAAGGAGTCATATATCTCTGTTTTGAAATACAAGCTCCTCAAATTGATGAGCAGGAGTTCAACTAGAGTGATTGTAGTTATCTACTGAGCAAACTCAAACAGCAGTCTGGAAGTCTGGCTCTGTCCAACTCTGTATATAATGCTCTGGATGAAATGTGAAAATTCGTGTAGTTCCCAAGTCTAGGTGCTGAGACCACCCATGGCCTTCGCAGTATCAGGATGAGTCCTGTGCACGTGTCTGCTCTCTCTTTGGTTACCCAAAGAGGTGTTCAGAGGGATGCTTGGTGGATCAACATCTTGAGTGTGCAATGATATTCATTCCAAAGTGCCTCCATATGGCCATGGCAGAACTCAAACAGTACTGTGAGAATACTGAGGGTTCAGCTGACACTACATAAACACTTCCAAGCAGTTTATGATCAAACATAACAAAATGGATATTTCTTAAACAAAGTGTTTTGTAGAAATGCAGATCTTCGGTAAATAAATCTTAAACTGGGAAATGGA